TTTCGGGGTCCCCACCGCCATTTTGGGGCTCCTCGCCACCATTTTGGGCTCCCCTTATCCGCAATGTTCCTTCTCTGAGGTGACCGGCCACCATTTTGGGGTCCCCGCCGCCATTTTGGGGTCCCCCAGCTCCTTATCCGCAATGTTCCTTCCCTGAGGCTCCCCACCGCCATTTTTGGGGCCCCACCCTCCATTTCGGGGTCCTTTCCAGCATCTTTCCCGCCGCCGGGGCCCTTCCAGGTGCCATTTTGGGGGCCCCGCTGCCATTTTGAGGCCATGTCGGCCTCCCCCCAGAGCTCCAGGTCACCATTTTGGGAGTCATGGCCGGCATTTTGGGGGCTCCCGGCCACCATTTTGGGGCTCCTCGCCACCATTTTGGGACTCCCGGCCACCATTTTGGGCCTCCTGGCCACCATTTTGTGACTCACCACCATTTTGGGACTCCTGGCCACCATTTCGGGATTCCTAGCCACCATTTCAGGATTCCCAGCCGTCATTTTGAGGCCCCCGGCCACCATTTTGTGCCTCCTGGCTACCATTTGGGGGCTCCTGGCCACCATTTTGTGCCCCCTGGCCACCATTTTGTGCCTCCTGGCCACCATTTGGGGACTCCCAGTCACCATTTTGTGACTCCCGGCCACCATTTTGGGATTCCTGGCCACTGTTTTGGGATTCCCAGGCACCATTTTGTGCCTCTTGGCTACCATTTTGTGCCTCCTGGCCACCATTTTGTGCCTCCTGGCCACCATTTCGGGACTCCTGGCCACCATTTGGGGACTCCCGGCCACCATTTCGGGTCTCCCAGCCACCATTTCGGGACCCCCAGACACCATTTTGTGACTCCCGGCCACCATTTCAGGGATCCTGGCCACCATTTTGTGACCCCTGGCCACCATTTCAGGAATCCCGGCCACCATTTGGGGATTCCTGGCCACCATTTTGTGACCTCTGGCCACCATTTCGGTACTTTTGGCCACCATTTTGTGTCTCCCGGCCACCGTTTTGTGACTCCTCACCCCCATTTTGTGGGATTCCCGACCACCATTTGATGACTCCCAGCCACCATTTTGGGACTCCTGGCCACCAATTCAGGATTCTTGGCCACCATTTTAGGAATCCCAGCCACCATTTGGGACTCCTGGCCACCATTTTGTGACTCATGGCCACCGTTTTGGTACGCTTGGCCACCATTTTGGAACTCCCAGCCACTGGTTTGGGAATCCCAACAACCATTTTGAGACTCCCGGCCACCATTTTGTGACTCTTGGCCACCATTTTGGATCTCCTGGCCACCATTTCGGGACCCCCAGCCACCATTTTGAGACTCATGGCCACCATTTTGTGCCTCCTAGCTACCATTTGGG